GGTATTCTGTGGGTGTGCGTTTTGTGGGCATCCAGACATTGTTTTAGGACTTTTTATGGACCAGGCCATTTGTCATGGCATGTGAGGATGACATGGGAAAGACTGGGCAAGGGAGGCTGTCAAGGGAATGGTCAGCATTAGCCACAGCTGGATAGTGGGCAGGGCGAGGGGCTCAGAAGAGACTCTCCCTAAATCCTCACAGCGTAAAGGAAGCACTGGGAGATTTGGACTTTCAGATTTGCAAGATTCTGTTAAAGCAGCCGTATAATAAAGTAGAATTAGCTTATTTGGTTGTATTTCCTACTTGGCCCATTTGACACCCTTACAGTGAGCCAGATTATACCCTACACAGTGGAGGGTATAATCTGTAGCTGTCTTCCAATATCTCAGGGGCTGCCACAAAGAAGAGGAGGGGGTCAACTTATTTTCCAAAGCACCAGAAGGCAAGACAAGAAACAATGGATGGAAACTAATCGAGGAGAGAAGCAACCTGAAACTAAGGAGACACTTCCTGACAATGAGGACAACTAACCAGTGGAACAACTTGCCTCCAGAAATTGTCGCTGCTTCAACACTGGAGGTCTTTAAGAGGAGACTGGACAATCACTTGTCTGAAATGGTAGTGGGTCTCCTGGTTGATCAGGGGTTGAACTAGAAGACCTCCAAAGTCTCTTCCAGCTCTATTCCAAATCTTATTCTGAGGGCCATCATATCTTCCATGAAGACGACAACTCTGCTTTCATCTTTATCAGTCCAGTATGAATGCCTGGAATCCCTGCTTGTCCATCTCCTGGCCTTGGAGAGTTGAGAAACTCAGAGGCTGCTTCCTACATTTGGGAGACAAGTAGGCTCAGTGACTTCACATTTGTCCTCTAGCCCCCCCCTCCATCCCCCCAAAATCACCGGCACTGGAATGCCCACTGTTTTACAAATTGCCGCCCTAAAACAGCCTGTGTCTATTTAGAGATCCCTTTCCACAATGAAGTTGGCGTTTGCCACACAAGATAATGAGAGCTTTGCGCCGGGAAGGTGTGCGCACCTGGGACCTGCTCCAGATGGGCCCCTCCCCTCTGGGGTCTAATTGGGGTAGAAGCCAGTGCAGGTGTGAACAGAGAGGCTGCTTTGCTGGCACCCCAGTTGGATTGGCTCCCAAGGCGCGTGGCTGTGTCGGAGAGAGAGGAAGGATCTGAGCTTTTATCGGCATCAGGAAGTATTTATCGCAGACCTGTGCCTGCCAAAAGCTCTGCCGACAACTGACAGCTTGTGTGGCTTCATAAGCAGCTCTGTGCAAAGACCCAGAAGAGAAGGAGCAGTTGCTGCCCCCAGGACCCCCGATTTCTCAGCACCCCTGGCTTTTGGGGGGGTCTTCAGCTTCCCAGGGGTCTCAAGTTGGCCTGTCTTGGAAGCCCACTTGGGATCTTTGGCACACCAAACATACTTAATGTGTTTTGTACATTTTTTTAAGGCTCCAGGCTAGAAACCAGGAGACAGCGAGTTCTAGTTCCAGTCTCAGATACGAAAGCCACAGGGTGACTTTGGGCCAGTCAATCTCTCTCTCAGCCCAACTCCCCTCACAGTGTTGTTGTTGTGGGGAAAATAGGAGGAGGAAGGAGTACTAGCGTTGTTCGCCGTCTTGTGTTGTTTCTAAAAATAATAAAGGCAGGATATACATTAAATAAATAGAATACAGAGAAGAACAACAAAGATGATTAAGGGTCCGGAGACTAAAAGCTATAAAGACCGGTTGCAGGAACTGAGTATGTCTAGTTTAGTGAAAAGAAGGACTGGGGGGGGGGGACAGGATAGCAATATTTCAATTTTTGAGCATCTGTCACAAAGAAGAGGCAGTCAACCTAATCTACCATTGCAATCCACTACCAAGCCACTGCATTTTCCAAACCATGGCTTATGGTCTAAGTCTGATGATTGAATGCAGCCTAGTTTAATGAAAAGAAGGGTGACGTGATAGCAGCCTTCCAATATTTGAGGGGCTGCCCCAAAGGAGAGGGAGTCCAGCTATTCTCCAAAGCACCTGAAGGCAGGACAAGAAGCAATGGGTGGAAATTAATCAAAAAAAGAAGCAACCTAGAACTAAGGAGTAATTTCCTGGCAGTGAGAACAATTAACCAGTGGAACCACCTGCCTCCAGAAGCGGTGAATGCTCCAACACTGGAAGGTTTCAAGAAGAGACTGGACAGCCATTAGTCTGAAATGGTACAGGGCAGGGGTCCCCAACCCCCGGGCCATGGACCAGCACCAGGCTGCAGCAGAGCAGAAACCAGGCCATGCAAACAAGCAGGATGCAGGTCAATGGAAAAACCTCTCTCCACCGAACCGGTCCTTGGGCCCAAAAGATTGGGGGCCACTGGTGTTGGGTTTCCTGCCTGAGCAGGGGGTTGGACTAGAAAACTTCCAAGGTCCCTTCCCACTCTGTTATTCTGTGTTAATCGCCTTTGTTTTATATGATGATACTGTAATGGCCAGAAGGTGGTTGTAACATTCTTTGTCTGTGCCAAACCAAGTTAGAAGTGCATGAGAAATAAAAGCCCCACAACTGAGCATGACGGGGGTCTTCAGGTTGCCTGCAAAAGCCACCCTGAGATTACGCCTGCCTGGCTGCAGATGAAGCTGTCGCGGCTTGTCCCCCAACACAGCCCCTCTTCCCTTCCAAACCTCCCTGATAAGAAGGAGGCAAAAACCACTTTTCTCAGCTTCTTCCTCCCCTTGGGTTGCCCATCACGTTGTCCTCTCTCAAAAACCAAACTCCACCTCACAAGTGGAAAACTGACACGTAGAAATGCTGCAAGATTTCACGAGGCAGAGACATTTGGAGTGCTGGTTCCCCCCTCCCAATGGTTTTCTTTCATTGGAAGCCACAAAAATTGATTTCAAAATGTATTGCCAATATTCTTTAGAGGGGGGGGGAGATCTTTTCTGGACCGAAAGGACATTACTCAGGGGCAGCTCTAACTTTGGACACCTCCCTGGAGTGACCCCGTTCTGCATGGAACCATATTTAGCCTTTGTAATAAAGGCAATTGGCATCACTCTCCCATCCCCAGTTTCCTCGCAAACATAATCATGGACAGTTCATTTCTGGCATGCAAATGAAGTCACAATTGCTTCTCATTTTCTTTTCCCTTCCCCCTCCCCCTTCATTCTTTAAAGGCAGCACAGATTCGTGGCTACCTTGTAATGTTGTGCTGCTGCTAATGAATTGCTAATATAATTTTCTAGATAATTTTATTTTTCACCTTTCTCGGAAAGAGTCTTCAGAAAGCCGCCGTTTACTCGCTTTATTCTTGCCGGGGTGATGTGATTTTTACTGTTTCATATGGTTCAAGATACTCAACTATGCATCAAGTAAGAGAAATGGGTCTTATGGTGCAAAAGATCACACTGGGTGTTTCGTACTGTATCGGCCATGTGTAACAATTGAAATGGGGGTGGAAGAGATTTGTCACCTCTGCAGACACAGAGCGGAGAAGCGTCTTGTGTCAAGTGGCTGTAGATACTTGCCTGGGGTTTCTCCAAGGATTCATAAGCAGGAGACAAAAGTCCAAACGTTGACCCCCACCCTTGTAGTGACTGAACACATCCAGACACCCCTTCACAATTTTGTGTGGAAGCTGTTGGAGGTTGTGCTGAGCTGGCAGTGAGGATGAGGGATGCTTCCTTCTGATCTGGCTTCACACGCGTGTGTCTCAAGTGAGGGACATGCTTGTGGAGACAGATCAGAGGGGACACAATCAGGTGTTCAAGTGGCATCAGGTCTTTCACAGCTGTGAAAATGTTTCCAACTGAGCCGGGGGGGGGGTTCCTGCTTCAAAGAGAAAGCATCGTCTGAAGCTGCCCATATTGCTCAGGAAAACCCCATAAATGTCCTTGATTCCCCCAAACTGTGGAGGCCAAGATGGGTCCTGCCCACCCACCCCAGAAAGATAATTTTCAGAATATTTGGAGTTCAGGTTTTGAGAGCCATGTGAAGAAAGTCCTGATTCTTTTGGAGTTAAATGCAGAAGTTTTTCCAGCAGTAGTTATTGTTATTTTTTTAAAAAAATTACATTTCCAAAATAATCTCTGGTTTGCCTCTGGATATGTGGGAAGCCCATTAGAGAAACCATCTCTTCTCAATTTCAGATGGTGAAATTACACATCTACCCTATGAATATGCTTGCATTTCTTATTTTCCGTCTCTCTTTAATTTACCTACTATTTCATTTTATATTATTCTGTTCTAATTTGCTCCCTAACTAGTATAATAATCAGGTTTCATTAGTGAAGGGGAGAGGAATGTTTAGTTAATAAGTTCCTTTGATTGTTGCCTTTGATAGAATTCAATATATTAAAAGTCAAAAGCTTCGCTACTATAGTCTTCTTGCAAGGAAGTTGTGTTGTGAAAACTTGCTTGTATTCCATGCTGTAAAACAGGTAGGCAGGCAAGTAGATAGGTAGGTAGGGGGTGGGGGGGATGGATGGATGGATGGATGGACGGACCGATGGACACAAAGACAAATAAATAAAGAGATGAAAACTCTGAATGCTGAATGTCCTCTTGAGTCAAGTTTGCATAATTTCATTTTTCCAAGAGGGGAACAGGCCATGTTCTCTGCATGTTGTGTGAAGGTCAACCATGGAGAGAAAAGGTTCTTTAGTGACAGAAACTCTTTTTTTCACAAATTTGTGAAAACCTGCCTGATCCATACATAATTCTTATCTTTTTCCCAGATCATCAAAATTAGAAGAAACTATGAATATAGGTGATGATTGAAAACTAATTTGCAAAGTCTTCCTGATTGGCTTTGCTGTTCAATCCAGGTAGCAATTACTGAAGGTTGTGACCGATGGACATGTTGGCCACTGTCTCCCTTTCTTTGGCCATTTACCAGGAATTGTCCATGTCAGAGACACAGGGAAGAGAAGCCTGAGGATACAGGCCTTCTGCCGATCTGGCCAGGTATTTCTTCTGGAGGTGACCTTCCATTTCCCTCTTCCTCCAGGCTCAGACATGGCCGTCTTCTGCCTGCTCTGTGGGAAACGCTTCCAAACGCAGACAGCCCTGCAGCAGCACATGGAAGTGCATGCTGGTGTGCGAAGCTACATCTGCAGCGAGTGCAACCGCACATTCCCCAGCCACACAGCCCTCAAAAGGCACCTACGGTCGCATACAGGTAAGCAGGATGGGCTGCCTGGGAAACGTGCCCGGACAGTGGTGGGCATGAGGGTGAGGTTTAACCATCTGGTTCTGATGAGCAGCACAGGGCGCATCATGGCTCCACTAGTGCTTCTCCTTCAAATATACCTTTAGGGCCAGGGAATTCTGGGAGTTGCAGTCTATGCATCTTAAAGTTGCCGAGGTTGAGGACCATTGCTTTGGCTAGTCCTCGCTTCCCAAAAAGGGAAGGGCCAGTGCTTGCTTGGAAGTGGGGCAGGCTGCTCGTTTACCCATTGGTGTTCATCCTTCCTGCTCCCCTCCTTGCTGCAAATAATACAGAAAGACATCCCAGACCTTAAACGTTCACTTGCTATTGATGGGTGCTTCATTTGAGTGGGTCCTTGGCGATCTGTCCTCCAAAGACACTGTCCCAAAATATCTCAGGATGCTGTGAGCTTTTAAAAACAATGCGATTTCAAGGAGTAGAATCTATTTGTTCATTCTCAGCTCCAGCTTCCTGGACAAGGGTCAGATAAGATTTGAGCCATTTTGAATTGTGTCTCTGCATTATGCGCGTTCGAGGGCACCATCCAGGAGATGCCACAGCTGCTGCGGCACCAGCAGGCATGGCTTGGCTGAACCTAATCATAACAGATGCACCAGCCACTTTTAGCACAAATCACATTTGTGTGTGTGTTTGTGTGTGTGTGTGTGTGTGTGTGTGTGTGTGTGAGAGAGAGAGAGAGAGAGAGAGAGAGAGAGAGAGAGAGAGAGAAAGAATGAGAGGGGAGGGAGGAAGGAAAGGGAAGAGAGAAAGAAAGAAAAAGAAAGAAAGAAAAAGAAAGAAAGAAAGAAAGAAAGAAAGAAAGAAAGAAAGAAAGAAAGAAAGAAAGAAAAAGAAAGAGGGGAGGAAGGGAGGGAGGGAGGGAGGGAGGGAAGGGAAAGAAAGAAAGAAAGAAAGAAAGAAAGAAAGAAAGAAAGAAAGAAAGAAAGAAAGAAAGAAAGAAAGAAAGAAAGAAAGAAAGAAAAAGAGTGTTAAGGGTATGATGTCCTGGATTGCTGTCCTCTAACTACTGAAAGCAGTCTTAGGGCTCACTGCACCTGTTGGACTGCAGCTCCCTTTCCCTTTGGCTGCCCTTTGCCCTCTGCAAAGAGCCTCATGTGGGCTGATTCCTCTTCCATCTCCTCCAGCCGTTTGCTTCCGGAGGGGCATCCTGAGCCTCAGAGCTGCCTTTGGGGCCCAGGCCGGGCCAGATCCTGGCACTGACAGATCCCTGATTCACTTGGCTGATTGGGTAATAAAACCAGGTTGCTGCACCAGCGAGGTGGTGGGCTCACGCTTTGAGAATTGGCTGCCTCCCTGGCTAACGAGTCCACCAGGTAACAAGAGATTGGGAGGTGGAGGGAGGGAGACTGGGTCCCAGGTGCAGCCCACCAGCCAGAGGGGGCTATAATTAGTCCCGCTTGTCCTGGACTTCATGTCAACCTCATTAAGTGGCCTTGCAAAGTGAATCAACGAGCCATAAATTGGATCTTTCTTAAAACGAAAAAACAAAAGGACCAACAGTAGTACACTAGACAAAGAATCAGCCGCGTCTTCCGGCTTCTGAGAAGCTTGTCAGGCCAGCTGTTCTTGGCTAGACCAGGAGAGGCCAGATTTAAACCTGCTAACACGGGCCTGGCACACTCCGCTGAATTTCCCAAAGAGGCTTCTGCGAGATATTAGCCCCTGGTTGAGCCTCGGGAGCCTATTCTAAATAACCACAAGCTGGGAATAAAAAATATTTCTGAGCACTTTGAAAAGCTCCCCACCCAGGGCAGGCAGTTGGAAGAGGTGACTTCGGTGGCAGCTGAGCATCATCAAGGCTCAGAGTGGCTTCCTCTGAAAAATTAATTTGACAGATCTGTTGTCACTCCCAACAGAGATGCATAGAGGGGACTGTTGCTGCATGGAGAGTTTGTGTGGGTGTGGGTGTGTGTGTGTTTCCTCTTGTCTCCAGGAATAAGAAGTTTAGGAGTACAAAAAGTGTGAAATAAGGGAAAAGCAGCAGCAGAGGCAGAGTGACCATAGAAGGTGCTTTAAAAAAGCCAAGACGATGGATACCCTGTGGGATACCCGAACAGTAAAACCAGGTTGAAGTTCCCATCCCACGATTGCAGCCTCCATCTTGACTTTTCTGACCTCACCCTATGGACACCCCTCATCACAAGCAGAATTCCAGAGTCTTTACAGCCACATGGAATCAGGTGTGCCTGCTCCTGGAAAGTTAGTTGAAGCCATTCCCATTTTACAAGGAGGGAAAACTGAGGCTGAGAATTCAAAGGAAGAATCTCTAGCCATGAGGGAACCAACACTTTGCCTTTGCTCCAAACCCAACAGATTTCCTGGGTCAGCTCTGGAGCCAACTTCTTCTCCCCTTCTGCAAACTAGTTTTCGTTTGGTATCAGAAATAGAGAAACAGAGCAGCTTTTTCAGAAGCTAGGAGGAAGAGGAGGAGGAGGAGGAGGAGGAGGAGGAGGAGGAGGAGGAGGAGGAGGAGGAGTTGGGAAGCAGCAGGAGGGAGGACAGAAAGGGAGCAGAATATCCTGGGCCCAAGGAAGTGGAGGCAGCCGCCTGCGAGTCTATAACAAGGAGGAGAATTTATGCTCAGGCACGAGTTGGGTTTGACATGGGGATAATGAAAAAGCGTAGGTCATTGTGGATGACTTAAGCTTTCAGCAACGGAGGAAAATGTATGAAATGGGAGCAGCATTACACGCTTGGCAGCTCCGCGCATCTGCAGCGGGACAAGTGAAATACAGTGGGGCCATTCTTTACCATAAACTTGTGGCCATCGGATTTGCCGAGCCTGGAGAAGATTGTAATTACACTGACAAGACAAATCAGCAATATTTAAATATTCATGAACAAAGTCTGGGGTGATCAATCTATCTTTATTGTCCTTCCATTCGACTTCTGTAATAAATATTTTTTAAAAGTGAGGGAATGGGAGTTGAAGCTGCTCCCTCTCTGCTTCTCCCCCCTCCCCCCCCCCAAAGAAGGAGTCCTGAGATTTGGAAGGGAGAGCTTGGTGCTCAAATCTGGATCTTCTCAGCCATGGTCACCAGAAACAAGCTGAAGGGGTGAACAATTCACTGAGAACTTCTCCTGGGCAGCTGCATGGATGGAGAGCAGCAGAAGACACCAAAAGAACCAACATCCCTGGGTGAAAAAGCTTTCCATATTCCACAGCCTGTTGACTAGTTACTCCAGAAATAAGGTCTATCTCAAGAAGAAGACAAGTCATTCCCTGAGGTGGCCCAGAATCTGTGGTTTTTTTTTTTTTTTTTTTTACTCCTGCTTCCATCCCACAGTTCTTTGGATACCACCTTGTACTCAAAGGTCTACTAAAGCACATCTCCATCCCTCTTGGAGATCCCTAGTCCTTGTGATCAGATTCTCCGACAGGACCACAGCAAGCCATCCTGGCTTCTGAACCTTCAGAGTAGATCTAATTTTTCACCCCTTTTTTATTATATTGTTATAAACTTTGAGATGTATTCTTTCATCACAGTGATGTTTTTATAACCATAATTGAATGTTATTGGCATTCTGTTATTTAGATAACTTAGATTGTTACAGATAAAGCAAAAAACTACACCATCCGTATTAGTTATAATTTAGGATGTCAACATTACAAGCATAAAATTATTTTGTCTTTTCTACCCGAAGTTGAGTATAACATTGAATAAGAACCACTGCAAATTGCTTCTAAGTATTCGTTGCACAATAAAGATTTCAATTGTAAGCTAATTACTTAGTATTACAGTCCTTGGTGTTCTCTGAGCTTGGTTGTTTTCTTGCAGACGTTTCATTACCCAAACTAGGCAATATCATCAGTAACATAGTCCCTAGCACTCATTTCAAATCTTTATATTCTCCTTCCTTAGTATGGAAGTTTATAGGTACTGCATGTGTGTATTAAATAAATGAAGCAAATTTAGTAGAATTCCAAAATTGGGGGTGGGGAGGACAAATGAAATTTTAAAAAAATCATTTCACCTCTGAGAAGAACCTCACCTTCTGGGTTCCTTGGGAAGATGTGGCTTGTTTCCACTTCACCCACAAAAGTGATCAAGCCCACCTTTTTGGTCTCCACCATAGACTCACCTCATTAGCAACATGCTGAGGTCTCTGCACATCTCTAGACTCTTCCTCACCTCTTCTAGAGTTGGCAAGGCCTTTTCTAGATAGGCTTCTCAGCCATAAAAGGAGGCTTTCTTGGTAACCATTCTGCTTTCCTATAGGCTCTAGGTTTCAAGCCCAGGAAGGCTCCCCTCATAAGCATGGCGACTTCAGAAAGCTCATTTGACAAATTTTACTATGGTCCTTCTGGAAGATTTCTAGAATCAAGATTAAAACCCTCTTGGAGATTATTTTACTCCTCATTAACCAAAGTTATTTGGGGATTGTAGAAGATTGAAATCTGCCCTATGGAGTGAGGGAGTGGGTCAATTCTTCAGTCTTTGGAAACCATTCCACTGGACTAGAGGTTCTTCTAGGTAGATCCCATGGTCCAATGGGATAGGTAGAAGAGGATGCAGGCTTTATAAATGGGCATTGAAAGTTTCTGCATCCACTGTCACACCTTTATGGAGATGGGAGGGAAGAGACTAACTTTGAAATGTCAGGAAAGAGCCTTTGAGGCATGTCCTTCTCTTCCCACTTGGTCCTCATGACTCAAGCTTTTGGGCACTGAGGATCAATGGGCCAAGATCTCTCTTCCTTTGCTTCTGTTAGAGGTGGTAGAAGTTTCCCCTTTGTTGAACTCTCCTTTCTCCTGCCCAGACTTCCAAAATGACCCTGACCATCCACCAGGCCTTGGAGGCATGTCCTCCACTAAACAATAGCTTAGAACCTCCTGACCACGGTAGAGGTCGGTTGACCATCTCCAGCCTCCCTTGCAGACTCTTTGCTGAAGCCACCCGCCTACCCTTTGTGTGCCCAGGAGCTGCACCTTGTGAGCAAGCATGGATTTGGTCTTTTGGCCTACAGATGGCTTCCCTCTGACCCTACTGTCTTGGCTGCAGGCGACCATCCGTACGAGTGTGAATTCTGCGGGAGCTGCTTCCGAGACGAGAGCACTTTGAAAGGACACAAGCGCATCCACACCGGGGAGAAGCCCTACGAATGCAACGGCTGCGGGAAGAAGTTCAGCCTGAAGCATCAGCTGGAAACCCACTACAGGGTCCACACGGGTAAGGGGACGCCCAGCCCGCAGGAGGCAGTTTTTCCTCCGGCAGCTTCTATATCATGGCGTTGGGCGCTGGCAGCCTGCAGCTTTTGTAAATAGCAGATCAATATTTAGATTGCTTTTTCTGTTCATTACTTCATTATTTGCTCTGCCTGGGCATGGAATGGGTATTGATACTGAGGAAAACCAAGGCTGTTGATTACTGCACTGAAGGAAGCCTCCTCGCCTTTCCACCGCAGCTGCTGCCTGCAGCATCTGGAGGGGCTTCCTGAGAGGAACCACCAGCCCAGCTGGCTCTTGCAGGGGAAGCTGGCTGCAGGATTAACCCCTGACTGGTCAGCGTAAGGAAGGCCCAAGACCAGGTGGCCATTCTCATTCTGAAGGCCACTTCCCTAGCTCTGGGGGGTTCCAGGAAAAAGGGTTCCCTGAGCATGGTTGCAATAATTGAAACATTTCCCCTCCCCCCCCCATGATTCTCTCCTCCTCCTTTCCTTTTTCCTCCTCCTCCTCCCCCCTTTCCGCTTTCCTCTCTTATTTCTCCTTCCCCTACATCTCCTCCTCTTTTTTCCTTTCTCCTCCTTCTCCCTTCTTCTCCTTCTGCTCTCCCTCCTCCTTTTCCTCTTCCTCCTCCTCATCTTTTCTCTCTCCTTTCTTCTTCCCCTTCTCCTCCTTCTTTTTCTCCTCCTCCTCCTCCTCCTTCTTTTCCTCCTCTTCCTCTTTTCTCTCTCCTTTCTTCTTCTCCTCCTTTCCCCTTCTCCTCTCCCTCTTCCTTCTTCTCCCACTCCACAGGCGAGAAGCCGTTTGAGTGCAAACTCTGCCACCAGCGGTCCCGAGATTACTCCGCCATGATCAAGCATCTCAGGACCCACAACGGAGCCTCCCCCTACCAGTGCACCATCTGCCTGGAATACTGTCCCAGCCTTTCCGCCATGCAGAAACACATGAAAGGCCACAAGCCGGAGGAGATTCCAGCTGACTGGAGGATAGAGAAGACCTATCTCTACCTGTGCTACGTCTGATGGGACACATGGAGAAAAGAAACTGGAAAGGACTAGACAGAATCAACCCCCTCAATTGCTCCCTTTCCTTTTCCTTTTTTCCACCCCAATTTTTTTTCTTATTTTGCTTTTGGTTCTGTTCATCCAGGATTTGCTGGCTCCTTCTTTCCCAGCTTCCATTGTCCTTAAGGTTGCAAGGAGCGAGTGGGGCAGGGAGAAACAAGGAAAAGGGAAGAGACCCCATTGGGGTCCCTCCAAGAATCCCCAAAAGAGCATCCCCCTCAGCCCATCGCAAGCCCTGGCCAGCTGTGAAGTTGTCTTGCATGGTGGTCATGTCTCCTGAGTGGGGGGGGAGGCTCATGGCTCTGGGGTTCGTCTGGCCCTTGGTGCTCCTTGGGCGGGGGGGACGGCTAATTCTGTCATGGTGTAAGCTGAGATCTAATCAACTCCCTGCACTGCTGCCTTGGTTTCCCAAGGATCCTTGGAATTGTAGCATCATGAGGAGTCTCTGTTGGGTTCCTTTCATTTTGTTCCATTGCTGATGCCTAACACACCCATGCTCCTCCTGGAATTCCCCCCAAATTCTCTCTCTCTCTCTCTCTCTCTCTCTCTCTCTCTCTCTCTCTCTCTCTCTCTCTCTCTCTCTCTCTCTCTCTCTCTCTCACACACACACACACACACACACACACACACTCCCCATCCTCACTGGTTCCTTTGAGAGGTGACCTAGCTGCCAACTTCAAGGACATGTTGGGCGAGATGGAACTGTTAGGGAGAAGAACAGCCAGGGAGCTCTGTGATGCCACAACTGTGGGGAAGGTACCAGCTGCCTTGGGACATCCTAGATCCCATCTGGCGGTTGCTTGAGAAGATCTAGGAAGTGCAGAGGTTCTCCCGGGGGTCTGCTACAGGAGAGCATTAGAACCTACAGCATGATTAGAACTGACCACGTTTTGGCCTTGGCAGCTCAAGTATTGGGGATGGTTGCCTCAAAGAACGTGGCCCTGGATGTGCTCGGAATTGGCCTCCAGTTATTCCCTGGGAGCGGCGATCCTTTCTTCTGACCAAAGACCATTCTATGCATTTATTTTTATTTATTTATTTTTGAAGCAAGAGGGGAGGGAGGGATGAGGAGGAGAGAGGCAGCGTAAGTTTGCACATTTGCTAGCTTGGACGGCCAGCCGTGTCTGAGCAGAGGAGAAAGCCAAATGACAAGGCTTAAGGGAAGCCCAGCAGCTGCTGGAGAGGCCCCGATCCTACCTGCCAAGGCTTTGGGGAAGCTCTGGGAAGCCCCCATTCTCCAGCCCTTCCCCACTGACTTCCATGGGGGTGAAAGGGCTGTGCTTTCTCCTAGTCAACAGCCTCAGTCGCACTCCCTCCTCTGTAGATCCACAAGTCAAAGTCCATGGAAGTCTCAGCTCCACTCACATGAAGCTGGAGAGAACCCGCCATCAGTGGATGGGAACCAACCCAGCCGTGGCTTCGTTTGTTCATGTGGATGGGCTTTCTGAAGAGTCTTACCTCCTGTAGCTGATCATGGAACCCAGGTTTGAGGTGTGTCAAGGCTGCAGTGCAGAACGGGGGGGGGGGAACTCACAGTCTTGACCTCTGCCCACAGAGCAGCCTTCTTGGCCCATGGAGCTCTCCAAGGATCAATTTGGATCTTTCTTCTGCCCAGGACTGCCTAGCAAATGTGGGGATGGGTGGCTAAAGAGACAGGGCTGCTTTGGCCTCGTACTTTTTCTGCTCTTTGTGCATCAGCAACAACCAGAGAAATGGATTGAGCAGGTCTGACCCAAAGTTGAGAGTCCCTTGAAACACTGCTTGCTCCTCTCGGAAGACCAATTCCAAGAGGTAGAGCAGCTAATGCTGTCTCTGTGCAGGTGTGTCTCCTGACAGCCACCTGGGCTTCTCTGAGAGGCAAGAGAGCCTTTTGCACTGAGTGGCCCCCTTGCAGCCATCAGCAAATCTTCACGTCCCCAATAGTTTCTTCTGGGGAGGCTCCTCCATTTCCATTTTGCACATAACAACATTGCCAAGAGGACGGGAGAGTCCTTATATAGTCCTATCTCTTGGGGGGGGGGGACTGAGACTCTCTTCCAGCTCATCCTTCTTTCTACTCCAGGGAAGTTGTGCCCCCTGGGACCTTTCTCCGCCCCTCCAAAACCTTAGATTAGGGGCAGCTTCCAGGGCTTTTCCCAGAATAGCTACCAAATTGCAATTGGGCAGAAGGAAGGAAGGAAGGCATACAGGTCTGGAAGAACTGTTAAGTGGACTTCATGCCCTTGATTTAAGTGCAATCAGAATTCAATCCAGTTTAAATTTTTACTTGTCCCCCTCCCTCAATGTCCTTGTCCTGGGATGCCCCTTCTGGAGGGCCACCTTAGCTTGAAAAGGTGGCCTTCTGCCCGCTTGAAAGACTGGCAAGTGGCTTGAGGCTTCCTTGCTTCTCCATCTTGACCCTTGGTGCCTTCAACCAAGGGGAGAGGTCCTTTCTCTTCTCTCTTGCACCCCCCCCCCATTGAACACGGTCCCCTCAAGACTTCTCTGAGGCCCTTCCTGCCCAAGACTTCTGTCACCATCGCAACTGAGAGGGGAATGCAATGTCCTCTGTCTTTGTGGTGTCTTTGCTTTCCTTTTGATGATTTTCTCATTTTCGCACATTGTACTTGAAAAGACCTCAGTTTCTTGTGACCTCATGAGCTTCTTTGAGTTGGCTTTCTGTGGGGAAGGGGGATGAGTTGGGGGTTCATTGCTGAAGAGGCCACCAGGCAGGGCTGGAAAGGAAGGTTTGCACCCGTGTTCAAACACAGCCGACAAAACCCCACGGACAGTGTTCTCTACCCCAGCCTTCTTGTTTCGTGTTGATTGTGCATTATTATTATTGTTACTACCAAAATTGGTGTTTGTTTTTATGATCCAGCCTGACGGGGTTCAGAGATGATCTTGAAAAGCTACCTCTTTTTCAGTTGATGTTGTTATTGTTAAGTTTCTTGTTCCTATTTTGTTTTTGTTTTTTTTGTTTGGCAGTTACAGAAGCACAGGTTTTTTTTTGCAATATTTGTGGGTGGGTGGCTTTGTAAATTTCACTTCAGTTCTCATCTCATGCTTTATATTTGCAATTGTACATTTTATGTTGTAATTTAGCTGCTTTTTATATATGGGGAAATGTTTAGCAAAGAAAGTGTAGATCATTGTTTCTCAACCTTGACCACTTTAAGCGGTGTGGACTCCAATTCCCAGAATTCCCCAGCCAGCTATACTGGCTAGGGAGTTCTGGGAACTGAAGTTTAAAGTGATCAAAGTTGAGAAACACTGATGTAGATGGAAGAATTTTAAGCGATATCTCTCTATCCTGTTGCCCAACACACTTACCCTCCTAAATCTGACCCCGATCCTTCCTCAATGTTGGAAAATACTGAAGGCCTTAAAAATGGGGTGGGGGGAGAGAGAAAAAAAATGATAAAAGAGACCCTATGTCCTTGTAAGTCCAGAGAGCTGAAAATTTAGTGAAACCTTTAGCAATTTGGTAAAAGAAAAAAAATAAACCAGTTAAACTTGAATATGTGAATAGTTAAGTAGAGTTTTGTTTATAATGTGAAAAAAAGAGAAATGACAGCATTTAAAGCAGATCGTTTAATGAACAACATGCAGTAAATGTACCAGTGTGACATTTGTCAGAAGCGGCAACTGCAACCGGCCCTTCTGATGTAGCCCCAACCTTGTTGGGGTTTGTCTTTTTAAAATGGGGAGGGGGAAGTGTTTGGGGAGTCTTCCTCCCTTCCCCACCCCTCACCAAGCTAAAAGTGTTGGACTGATAAATTATTTCAAAAGTGTAATATTTTTGTAACCTTTGTTAGTCTCTGTGTCAAGCAGGATGTCGTCCCTCTTCTTCCCTTTGTAAATGTGAACAGGAACATGTTTGCGTCTGCGGGTCTGCGTTGGAAACCTAGTATTAAATAATAAATCATGCAGTATTGTTGTAAAGAGTTTGCCATATCAGATGGTACTCAACGTGGGCGGGAATCCCGGCTTGCAAAGCTCATTTGGAAAGGGCACAGGATCCCGGGTTTCTCGGGGGGGGACCCTTGATGGGCCGTGGAGAGGACGGGCTGGAGCAGAGTGGGAAGGGCACTCAACTGGTTTTGGGGAGCAGATGGTGGGCTGGCCTCTTGCCACTTGCCTCCCTCGCTTCCTCTCTCTTAATGATGGTTGGCTTTCTGCCATTGCATGGCATGATCCAAGCTAGCTTGACTGGTGACAGGGTGGCAAAGCGCTTGGTGCCATGGGAGGGAGGAAGAGGGTGTGCCACCCGACGGGACCTGCACAAACCAGATGGAATTCGGGGGCTTCCAAGGGCTAGAGCCCCATAGCTTCTCTGGGGTCCCCTCCTCTCTTCCTTGGCCCCTTAACAGTTTGCCGTTCTGGCTCCCTGTTCTGAGCGCCTTACCACGTGTGATTCCCTCCCACCAACCCAGCCCTCTGTGGTGTCCCCCGACCCCTTTTGTGGGCTTGATTTGGCTTCCCTTTACAAGTATATATTCCTGGCTGTCTGTGAATGTTGCTTTGGGATTACATTTCAGAAACTGAAAGCAGTACGATTATTGTATACAAACCCTTGCCGGTGTGTGTTTCGTGCGTATCCGTCCAATGGAGAAATATAACTTTGTGGCTTCTTTGTGGTGGGAAACAAGACCGGGACGGCTTCATAGTACGATCCTCAACACAGCTTTGAAAAAATGGCTTTTTCCTTTTTTTTTGTCAACCTTTGTGCCTGAAAAGGAGTGTGTTTGTGTGTGTGTTGATTTCTGCACATTTTGGGGGGGGGGAGGAATAAAATGCTGCAGTGCTTTCTTAATTAATGATTTGGTACCTTGGGGGATCTGGTGGGACTTGCTAGCTAAGGAATGTCATGGTATTCCCCATCTTTATTCTTGGAGGACAAAATCTGGCACCCCTGCAATTCTCAACCCGAGGTCCCCTAGAGCTGGTGGAAGGGGCTCTGTTGGTGCAAGAAAGGGTGCCCAGGCCACATTGCCTTCCAGTCACCCCCATCCTTTGTCCCCCACCCCCACCCCACAAGGCTGTGTTTTGCTTCACAGCAACATGACTTGCACATGCACTCAAAGCCCATGCCAGAGCTGCCAAGCCTTACTCTGTTGGCAGCTGCAGAGAATTAGTCAAAGCGCAGGGAATGGGCACCTTCCAAGCTTTAAGCAGTCTCAATCTCTTAAGCAGTCTTTCAATTCAAAGTAATGCAATGCCATTGTTCTCCTAGCCCCACCCACTTCATCCTGGCCCCGCCCCCAGTCTCTAAAGGCTGCAAGAGGGGTCTGCTTTCCCTTGATTGGTGCCAAAGGTTTTTGGCAGAGAAGGCAGGGGGGTGGGAAAGATGTTCAGGGTCTCCTGGGGCTGGATATCTGTGCCAGCTTTCGCTCTCCCCTTACCATGACCTCCCTCAGCCCAGGGCTGTTTTCTTAACACACGTCTCAGTATTTGTTGGGCATAGTGTTTAAAGGAGGCGTGACTTTTTGGAGGCCCAGAAGCCATGCTAAATCTCCATGGATGTTCATAAGCACTGAGGACCAATTTTGTCCTTCTGGACCAAGCAAACTTAAAGCTTATTCTTCACTTGTTGTGTTTTATCTCTTATCTCTTCATGTTGTCACAGTTAAAAGTGTCAGTTTGATTGCTTCATGTTAAAAGAGAAATCATGTTTTTTAATTGCTGTCCTGGCTCGGTCTACCTCAGCACCTCCTGCTAGCTTGACTTAAGAAGGTGCCAGTTGTTCTTTTGTTATTTAGTTTATTTTTCAAATACTGTGTTATGTATATTTTCTGTTAGTTCTTTTGCAGTGCAGCTTGTGCGTCTTATTATAAGCTTTCTCTAGAGTCTTAGACGCATTTAAGTTAAACACACACACATACACACATACACACAAAACAAATAAATAAGTCCTCCCTCCACACACACCCTCCCAAAGAAAGTTGTGATGTCCCTTTTCTAGTTGCCAATTCTCTCCTGCATCTATTCTGTAAGGCACAGGAGTGTCCTCTGTAAACCTGAGTTTTCTGGCGAGGGGGAAAAAAAATGACAAAAGGATTTTTTCCCCCAAAAAAGATGTATTGCTGCAGGTTTTTTTTTTTCTCCATTTGTCACTAAGTGAAGTTTGTGCCTTCTATAGCAAAGAGAATATTTTTTACATCCTACTAACAGTAGATTTTTTTGTAGTGGACATTTTTTGTATTTTTATTTATAAGTCTCATAAGGAAAATAGCAATGTTCAGTTGTATACCTTGAATCTGCAATTAGGAAAAAAACCCAATAAAGTTAATTCAGTCGTTGATGCGGGCGGCTCGTTGTTTGCTTTTATTCTTTGCAGTTTCACAGCTGGGATAAAGGAGTGGTCTGTGAGTCAATTTATGATACCATTGAACTTTATCTTATCCTTACGTCACCTTGCAAAGTCATCGTCCAGGATTGGCCGCTGGAGGAGAGAGAGAGACCGGCTTCATACAGCACACCAAGCCACAACTGTGGTTAGTTGACTGATGTATGGCGACCAGCTTCGTGTCTTCCAAGCCATAAATCTGTTCACCAAGCCAGAACCGGGACTGATCCGGACAAAGCCAAGTCTAACAAAGGCTTTGTGTGATGAATGAAACCCTTTCCCACAGCTCTCCAGATTTTCACTAGACAAGATACAAATTCTGTTGCACCCAAAGCTTGGAGCTTTGCTGTAGTTCTGGGAATGAACTCCATAGGGCAGTGCTTCTCAACCTCAGCCACTTGAAGATGGGTGGACTTCAACTCCCAGAATCCCCCAACCAGCAATGCTGGGGGATTCCATGAGTTGAAACCCACCCACCTTCAAATGGCTGAGGTTGAGAAACATTGCCCTGTGCCTTTCGGAACATGGTCAGATGCCCAGCCCTGAGGCTAGGAAGGAATGCCGATACTCATCCGTGACCGTCTTTCCATGCGGGCTGGAAAGGGCCACAATCATCACCGGGAGGGCTGTCGGTTCTCGTGGTCTTGACACAAAGAAAGCTAGAAGTCAGCCGCCTATGATTATAATTACATCTGTCTCATGAATCAGGGTTTTATTATCCAAGCGAGAACCTCGCTGACTTCGTGCCAATGACCTGGATATTTAGACAGGTCTGGGGATGGAGAATGGGCTAAATGAAGTCAGAATTCGAAAAAGCTGTGACTCCTGCATGGCTTTCTCGGATTGCGTCTACCCAAGTGGACATTTGGCTTTGGGGAGGGAGGAACAGAACCCATCCAGGCAGGGGTGTGTTTGAGTGGCGGCGGGGGGGGGGGGAGGGAAGCTAAGCTGAGTCCTAAGATGCCGGGTATTTCACCTGCTGTCTCAAAATAAGACACCCTGAATCGAGTACATTCTAGGACAAGAGTTGGTCTGGGTTTGAGCATTGGGGGGTTGGGGGGGGGCTTGCTGCCGACCCAGGCATTCCTCTTCTCTCTCTGGGTCTTTTGCCGACTCTTCTGGGTGTATCTGATGCTCCCCAGGGAGCTGAGCAAGTTTGCTTCAATGAAAGTGAACTCGCTCATTTAAACCTGACTATAGGCTGCTCTGGCCTCCTGCTGGGTTAATTATCCTGTAGTTCTAAACTGATTGCTGTACACTATGCTTAAGCCCTCCTTTATTTATTTACTGACTACATTAACTGCTGCGCCGGCCCTCTTTTTATTGAGATGCAAGCGGTACAGCCCTTTGCCCACAACCGAGGCTCGGCACCCGCTTGGTTGGGGGGGAGGGGAGGCACCACGCAGCAGCTCCACACCCCAGCAGGGAGAGAGCCGGTGGGCAGACACCGCCCCGCCCTGCTTTGGCAGGCAGGAAAGAAGGCTGTCCCTAGAGGGGGGGTCCTTTGGGGCCTCCACCCGGCTCAGCACCCCAAGCCAAATTTAAAATGTGCCTTGAGCTGCCATCATCCATGCCAGCTTAAGGGAGCTCTGCCAGGGTTGCCCCTTCTCGGCTCTCGGCTTCTAAATTGAAAATGGGGACATCCGGTGGGATTTTTATGACTTTAGCCTTCCTGGGAGGAGGGGAGCAGAGGAGATTTGCCCTGCCAAGCTGCGTAATCCCATGAAAATTAAAATGCAGTTAAACGTTAATTACATGGAAGCAACGGGGTAATTAGTGTTACTTAAATATAGTGTGCTGTTTATATTCAAATTATTTATGAGCATATATAGACATTTTCAGCTGCCCCATCCAGAAAAATGGCTGAATTGCCTCCTTCCTTTTCCCCAGGAAGGAAAGGAACTGGGATAATAGAACAAGGCAAGAAGGCCATTTTTTTCCTTTTTTCATAGCTTCGTTTGGTTAGTCGATGATGATTAATGGTTTAGCATGTTGGGCATACTAGTCAACATAATAGTTGGAAGGCACCTTGGAGGTCTTCTAGTCCAACCCCCTGCTCAAGTAGTAAACTCTATATTATTTCAGACCAGTGGCTGTCCAGTCTCTTCTTAAGATCCTCCAGCGATGGAGCATCTACAACTTTTGGAGGCAAGTTGTTCCACTGATTAATTGTTCTCACTGTTAGGATGTTTCTCCTTAATCCCAGATTGCTTCTCTCCTTGATGAGTTTCCATCCATTGCTTCTTGTCCTGCCATCTGGTGCTTCGAGATCAGGTGAACCCCCTCCTCTCTGTGGCAGCCCCTCAAATACTGGAATGTTGCTATCATGTCTCCCCTCCCCCCCACGTCCTTCTTTTCTCTAGACTGGCCATACCCAATTCCTGCAATTGTTCTTCCTATGTTTTAGCCTCCACTTCCCTAGTCAAAGTAACCAAGTTTACATGCCCAATAACACCCCCTCCCCGTGCCAACGTCTTTTTCATTCGCTATGTTATATGGAGTCAGCCGTTACAATTTATCAACAAATCATGTTTAAATAACTTCAGCATGAAAAAGCACAGAGTAATTTAAGTCTGTGCCAAATATATCTTTTTGCAAACATTGGCAAGCCAGCTACTTCTTCAGCAGCACTGAATTTATGCACTTCTATCCTGAAATAAAATGTCAGAGCATCATAACCAAGACATAAAGAATGACATATTTTAAAATAATATCTCTCCCCACCCTGTTTCTTTTGCTGGATGATTTTAGAGATTTTATTTGAAAATGCTGTCTTACTCTTTCATACTATCCTCATTTGCTCCAGCTCTTCATCAGCTTTTATTTTTTAGCCTATGTGCTATTTTGGATAGATCATGTCATGCAGTGCATTTACTAACCTCTGGTGAGGTCAGCCGTTCAGATACACGATGGCAAAGAACAGCCTGTCCCTCCCACATTCCTGGGTTTTGGAGAGCAACCCATAGGGACACTGCAAAGGATGACAGAGCACCCCTATGGGAACAGGAGCACTGGAACATGGGCTATAGAAGAGCTGAAGAAACTCAAGGTTGTTAGCCGGTTGGCAAATGGAGGGTAAATACTCTGAACATCAGCAGACAATAAAGCTTTAGAAAAGAGGCCCTTTCAGAAGATCTGCCTGTGACCCCACTGCAAATTCTCAGTACTAAAATTAACTTTTCTCTGTTGCTTCAGAGAGAGTTATGCCTTCTCAAAGCTTCAACTCTCTTTCCAGCTTCTAGTCCTTTATCTTCTGGTGCTATATAGTTTACTTCTTGTTTATTGTAGCTGTCAATCTGTTTGATTTTCCCCCACCCTGATATGCTGGAACTCTGGGCAGAATTTGTTTAGAACTTCAAGATATGGAAGATGTGTGTGACCAGAACAGAAATTCCCTTTAATATCGGATGAATTCTGGCATATTTGTTCCCACAAGCCTTTGTCTCTATTTAATTGCCAAAGCTCTGGAACTAGGTTAGGGTGTCCCTACCTAATATAGCTGGACCAGATCTTCTGAAGGCTTTTCCTGATTTTCTGCCTCATCAACTCTGGAGCAATTCCGTATATTCTGGGCTGCAAACCATTCACTCAACATGTCGATAGCTGCTTCAACTTAACACTTCTAGTCAAGGAGAACTTTTTAAAAATTATTTTGAGCTTCGACTCACCACGCAAAGATGAGGCTGTTGCAAGCTTATGGGCCAGAGAATTCGTAGACTTGAGATTGCAAGCCACCATCCTGTGTTGAAGATGCTACTGCCACCATTCCTATCCTGACTGGAAACCAAGGGCTTGTCCCCAAAGCCCGCTTGTGGATTTTGCATGACAATCCTACACTCCGTTTCAAGGCCTCGTTATCCGAATATATCTACTATCCAGCATATCTATGCCAGCGGGAATGTCTCCTTGTCTTTGGAAGCTTGTAAGCCACGGAATCCCTGGGCTCTGCCGCCATCGTGTGGGCAGCTCAAACACACAGCCCTAACCTTGCTGGACAGGGCAATGTGAGTAACTAGAAAGCACAGTTTTTCTGGCAAAAGAGAGAGAGAGCTGGTCTCTTTCCCTTGGGTGGCTGCATAAACCCTTACCATCTCCTTCTGAGTTCAAGCTGTGTTGCTGCCTGGGAGAGAATTCCAAAGCCGTGAAGGAAATTGCTTTGTGTGTTCACCAGTTCACAGAATCATTCAGTGCAAGGCTGAAAAAAGACAAAGTGATACCCTAATGCAGAGGTGGAAAACTATGGCCCTTTTATGACTTGTGGACTTCAACTCCCAGAATTGGCTGGCTCAGGGATTCTAGGAGTTGAAGTCCACAAGTCAAAAAAGGGCCTTAGTTCCCCACCCTGCTCTAATCCAACACTTGCCCAGTTCAGGAATCCACACAAGAGCCTCTGTTTGAAATGTTCCAGCAGAGGGAAATCCATTCTCCATTCCATGGCTACACAGCTCTTTCAGAAGACCTTCTTTCTGATGTCCAACCATGGGCAATGAAGAGATGAGGCCTACAAGAGTCACCCACTTCTGAGCCAGATTGCTCCCTCCATTTGGCTGGGCTGTGATCCTTGGCAGATGAAGGATTTTAGTTAGGCTTCTCCAGACTAAACACAACAACTCTTCCAACCATTCCTTACAAGTTTTTCTTTGCAACCCCTTACTGTCTGGGCTCTTGAGATGCTCTGTTCTAAATGTAGGTGCTGAGAATTGCGTGCAGCTTGACCAACGCCATATAGAGAGGATCTCTTGGGATTTGTAACCTATGAGACAACTGGCAAAAAAAAGCCCTGGTGGGGAGAAGATGAGAGGGGACAGGGGAGACAATGCTGATCTCCATTCTCCATTTTCAGAAGTTGACCCATCTCTGGCTCATGAACCAGCTGTAGGATTTCTTTGTTTGGACATAGCATGTTATGTGAATAGACTGTTGTATTTTGTTGAATGGGTTTAGATATTATGGTAAC